CCCCCCCGATTGTAAGTTTTTATCCACTTTTTATCAATATTTATGTATGACCTGCTTTCCCTTCTCATAAAGGCTTTGGGGGATGTTATTTATTTGCAAGTGATGGTGAACAATGGTAAAAAGCCTTCACCTCAGATCTGACTATTATGACAAATAAGTACCCCCTGACCCTACTGGCTTACCCCTTTTCTTAATTTTTTTAGCCCATAACGTACGAAGGACAGAACAAGAATCCCGAAATGTGCAGAGTTTTGCTTACTCATGAAGTCATGTGCAGGTAAGATGACTTTATTAACAGTATATCATTTGTTGAGTTTGTTTTCCACAGATGCCAAAATGGCCTTTCCGATGAAGTTGTAGGTAGGAAGAGTTTGATTGTTTGTTTGTTTGTTTTGTTGTTGAGTCAGAGACACCCTTTGTGTGGAAGACTTTCTTTTTACATGTGGATAATACTTCATTTGGGTTCAGTACAGATATTTGGGGTGTTTTTTGTTTGGGGTTGTTTGTGTAGTTTGGGTGTTGTTTTTTTTTTTTTTTTTGTTTTACTGCAAGAGATTTAGCAATGCTAGGTCCACAGTCTGAGCTGTGCTATTTTTGTTTAAACTAGGCCTTTGTATGTGTGGTTTAAATCGAGACTTTTCATATGCTTATTTCTTACAAAATTCCTGCTCACCTTTTGAGAATGAGCAGTTTAACTTACAGATTTTTATCTGGAAACTAAAAGGCATTCTCCATGTAATTTTCTCTGGTGAAATATTTTAATTTTCTTAAAGAACATTAATGATGATAATTTAATTAATTTTGCTTAGTTCTACCCCAACCAAAAAAGAAACCCCTCAAACCAAAACACAAATCCTTCTTTCCTATACCGTGTAAGGAATATTTAGTGGACTTCCACTTTTTAATTAAAAAAGACAGTATTTTTAGCATGTAAAGTTATAAATTAAAGGGTAAAATGAGTTGAGGATGTTTTTAATAACATTTGTATAAGTCTGAAGTTGCATGTACCTTATGTATGTACATCGTGCTTCCATGGTAACTTATTACTTTTCTTGTTCTCATGTAATTAAATTTTTTTCAATACATATAACAATGCAAACAGTCAATGTTCTTATATTAAAATGTGTTAAATTGTGCATAGAATGTTCTTTCATAAAATGAAGGCAAAACCAATCTTGACCTTTATTAAACACAGTTTGTGATTTATTGTATTAGTGGGAGGGGGTTAAGCTGTTGGACTGAACGTTGCTGCTTTTAATGTTGCAGTTTGCTACTTGATTTTTTTTTTTTAATAGCCTTTTAATATAGTAGTAAGAGCAGCTTATTTGGACAGACTTCTTGTGAAGGGAAAGTCTCAGTTTCAGTACTTAACAATTATGTTAACTGTTCCATTACTTCTTAAATATAATAAGAATCGAGTAAATGTGTAGTGTTTATCTGTTGTGCTTTGCTCTCATTAATTAAGAAAATGAGCGTTGTTACTTTTGACCAACATTCACATATGTACGCACAAACACAGCGTACGAGAGATGCATACGGTGTGCTTTACGAGGACCTGTAGATGTAGTAGCAAAGATCAAAGGTATATATGTTACTTTGTGGCACATCTAGAACTTGACTACATATTTAAATATATATGCTATCCGTATTGTTGAAAGTCTTCACTACAACTAGGTGAACATTAGAGAAGGAAAATCTTTTGAGTTGCTATGCAGTTGGGTCCTGGTTATATATAAATAACAGTGAGCATACTTCTTTCTCTGCTCCTCCTGTATAGAGTGCAGTTCTATTTTAGAAGTTAAAATATTTCAGCAAACACCAGCACCTTCCCATCCAAATGTACTTCTTTACAATAAAATTAATTTGGCTTTTTCCCCTGCTTCCTCTCCATGCCTTCATAGTATCAAATGCTCTGTTCAGCTTTTATATTCCTGGTCTCCGCTGATGCCTATAAACATATTCCGTGCTTGATTTAAGGTAGTGTTCTACAAATGTAAACCATTATTCCGATGACACTGAACTCTCCTGCTTGATAAATTAGCCAAGGAAAAAATTACAACTTGGGGACATCCTTTCTATGTAAAACACAGATTAGCGAACAAAATCAGAAGCGCTGTGTAACCTAATCAAGACATTTGATTTTAAATGTCGTGTTTTCCTAAAGTACCTCTGAACAGGATGCTGCGTATTCTGAAGAGGCATTACACATATCACTTTGAATAATGCCAAGGGAATGGATCCAACTCTAGTTAAACTTGACATTTTATTTTATTTCTTTTAAGTACAATAATCAAATCTTCCTCATTGTGTGCTGCTTAAGTGGCAGCATCAATTTTTAAAGCCCCTAGTTTATTTTGCATTAGTAACAGTATATAAAAATTTAATGCACTGTACCCACTCTGCTGTCCAAATTGATGCCTACTGTTTTTAAAAAGAAGGGTCTGACTGTCTTTCTGCTCCTCTTCTTCCAATCCTCACTAGTTGAAGGTAGGCGCTTTTTTTTTTTCTTTTTTTGTACATAATCACGCACGCAGATATTCTTGCTGTACAGAGACAAGTGCATCGGAAACTCCCCATCTTCCACTCAGACAGTGACAGATGCGTGCTTAGCAGGAAAGTTGTCTAAATATTGATACGGCTACAACAATCTGTCACACCAATTGAAAGTTAAACTCTCAACTCTCAATAATTAGTGCTTTCAGTGAGAGGTTCTATTTATTTATTTACAGATCTGAAATTTTTCATTTGGGTTATTACGGCCTAATGGGAACTGTTCCTATTAGGTGGGTCTATCTTAAATACACAGTCATTCCCCGCAACGGGTGGAAATCAAGGTAAACAGTCTTCTCTCCTGGAATAACTTTTTTCTCCTCTCCTTTTTCTTCCAATTGCCGACTAAGAGGAAACTAGTTGTTATGCTGCTGCCAGCAACCCCCTGTGCCCTCAATGCTCAGAGGGTTAAAAGGTGGTATAATTTGAACAGAAGTAGTCTCAGGGCCTACAGCTGGCTAATAACAGAGTTGTATTGAGTGCAAGCGAGCCCCACAGCTGTGACTTTCGCCACAAGGCTCAGACTAGACAGGAGCTCTAATCAGCTGGGCCAGGCGGCCACTGGGGCCTGTGTCTTTATCGGCCAGATGGTGTGAATTTAGACACTTTTGTTATGCAATTGCAGGGAGGAGTTGGGGAGAAGAAAACAAAACAAAGGCCACCATGCTGTGAGCTTATTTGAGTTTGAAATTAGAGACAGATTTTTTTTTTTTTTGGGGGGGGGGTGAGGGGAGGGAAGTTGAGGGCTGAATTTTAAAACCGTTTTAGTCAAGTGTGAGGAAGGAAAGGATGCAAGTTTGCCTTTGACATGAGCCTTCTGGAGTATTCAGTTTGTGGATCTGGTGTTGTCTGTGGTGGCTTTTTGGTTTCTGTGTTTCTTTTTAGTTTTTTTCAGGACTGTTCATAATGTAAACCACTATTTTTTCCCACATAGATCTAGTTAGAGGGGAAAGTATAATAAGTAAAGGTGTAAAAAATAGAAGTCTTAGGCCTTGATATTCTTGTTTTAAGCAAATGAGCATCTCTAAAGGTATGTTCCTAGCACAACATTGTAGCCGAAGTGTAAATACTGGTGATGTCATGCCAATAATTTGCTTTAAGAGAATATTGTAGGCTTTGATCCTGGATCACCAAGTTTAGGATTTTTGCCATTGACTTAAATTGGAACAAGTGAATTCTGTTACAGACAGCATTTGTAGAACAAACCCAGTGGAAACGTTAGTGCTTGGATACTGTGATGAAATACTTGGAAACAGGGGTTTAAAGATATGAGAGGTACTTTTGCTAAAATGCTGGGCTGAAACATCCTTAGTCTTTAAAAGCGCTCTGATTTACGTGTGAGCTAGTCGTTCATTGGGAGTGAGTGACTGTTTTCCTTAATTAAGATGTTTTTTCATATATGTTTGGGCTCAAAAAGTATTATGGTCAAAGGGGAAAAAAAGCTAGCACTCTTAACAAAAATCTGCTAACCTAGTGTGATAAGAATGTAGATATTTGTAAAATATTTGGACAACTTCAGCCGTAAGCCATGGTTTTAGATGGAAAATTTTTAAGTATCACAAAGGTAAAGTTCCTAACTGTGGTAACTGTGCAAACTACAATAAAATAAGATGCACTTATTTCAGAACCCAGCCACATTGTACTCCAATCTCGCATAATTCATGCTAAAACACTGTATCAAGAAATGGCAACCTTTCTGGGAAGAGTATACGAGCTGATGAGATGTGTTGGAGGTGCTGCTAGTGTATTCTGCTTGAACATTACTGTGGTGTAGTGCAATCAGAAACATTTTTGGGGACCATCTGTGTAAGTTACACGACTAAAGCAGATCTCATTTAATATTATTGCAAAGAGAGGAACTGACTGCTGTTTCAGCTAGATGTAGAAAAAAACCAACAACAAAACACTACAAAACTATTTTTTAAATTGTGTTCCTTTTGTTGTTTTATTATAGCGGCATGTAAACCAGCAAGGCATTTATTCCCGGTGTTATTTCCAATGCATTGTTATATTAGACATGTCAGAAGTATATGTCAAATTTATATTTTTCTGAGTGAGGGTTTTCTGCTTTTTTGGGTTGTGGTTTGTTTTTTTTTCTTCAGAAAACATCTTGCATCTTGGCTTTTAGTACCAAAATATGCAATTCTTTATAAACAATCATTAGGCAGTGAAATGCATGAGATGCACTTAAAACAAAGTTGGGAGACGGAGAGAGTGGGGATATTCTTAGCTAGTGTGAATTACCATAGCTTCACTGAAGTCGATGGAGCTATGACAATTTACAGCAGCCAGAGGGTCTGCCCCAGGGATTTTTAAATATTTAGTGTATCCTTTTATTTTAAAAGGACTAGCATCGATGAGTAAGTGCAGGTTTGAGGCAAAGGGAATGTAGAAATGTTGAAACAGTTACAGCTGCTATTCAAATAGATCTGCTAGTTGTATCTCATCTTGCTGGGCAATTTCAAGTTGCAAACGGGAGGTCCCTGGCACACACTGTAACTTAAGGAGAAAATGCATGCATTTGAAATTTTTCATATCCGAAAGAGTTTTTTTTTTTTGTCTAAATGCTTCTTTTAGGTATTTATAATTGAATATTAGGCACTTCAAGAAAAAAAAAGCTACTCTCTCATATTTTGTACTGCCTTCATTGAATTCAAGCATTTTATTTAAATTTTTAAAATTCCTCTGCTTGGAATTGCTCCCCAGTTGGAAAACTCTGGGATTCAGACTGACTTGAGAATTTTGTATAATAGGTGCTGAATACATTTGCCACTGTACAAAAACCTAAACAATGTATTGATTCTGTGGGAGTAAATTTGAACAACCTCAGCAGAATGTGAAAAACATAATTTGGAAAGGCATTTGTGTAACTTATGGCAGAATCTGATCTGTTGATTTCTGAGGCATACGGGACTTCTGATATAGTCAAAGTTTTGGATGCCTCCATCCTCCCCCTCCCATGTTAGCTTTGGTCAGAACAAACTATCGGAGCATCAAGACAGCTTAAATCTTCTAACAGGCTTCTACATTGCTACAAATTTTTAAAATTGAGAATTTCAGAGCAAGGACTGTTTTTAAAGTCTATTAAACTTCTGGTACTCAGCTGGTGTATATGCAAGGAGCATCACCCATGTCAATGAGTATATCAGTGGAAATCAAATAATGACCTGTCTCTTGATTTCTTTTTTCTTTTTTTTTTTTGTTTGTTTATTATTATTAAAAATGGGAAAAGGAAATACAGTGGTTCTGTTCTTGTTTCCTGAAGAAAGTTTAATTCACTGGGAGTGAAGAACATCAAATAGTTTCTGAGTGTAGGTTGCATTCTTTTGTACCATCTCCTGATATATCTGTGTATATATGTACACGTCCATGCATGTGCACACACACATGTATTTACACACACAGAGTCATCTTTGTGTGTCTGCATGCACATGTGCGTAGATGTGGACATAACACGGATATTGCAGAATATCATTCTGCAATACGAACCTTTCTGCAAACTCCTGAGGGCGACAGTGTTATCTTGCATTTCCTTATGACATCAGATAAATATATTTATTTTATGTTGTCAGCTCATCAGAGAGAGTTCTAATTTCTTTACAATCGTGTTGGTGTCCACACAGTATAAAAGGTGTATATATACATGCTTAATCTTAAGGGCTTATCATCACTGAATAATTGCAAAGGGATTTACAGATGAAATGCCAACCTGAAAAACTATCTCTTTGGATCCTTAGTAGGATCTAAGTATGTTCAGTTTCTGTTTTTTCATTGGTGTTACTATAGTGTTGAAGTTTTCTGTGGGCGTATGAAACTTAGGGGTTACTAGATATTTAATAATCAACAAATCAGTTATTAAAATATAACAAATCAGTATGTTGCTTATAGTCAGTTCTAGCACCTTCTTTTGATGGACTTTTAACCATACATAACACACGATACTCATGCCAGTAATGTCATTATGACATCTGTTAATCATTTATTAAGCCTTTATAAATAGCTCCTTAGTCTAAAGTGTGACCATATTGCTGTTCATTTTTGGCTGGGAATTTAAAAAAAGGCTCCAGGGAGCCAAGTGCCAAACTCCAGCTGGAATCAAGCAGAATTTGGGTGCCCAATTCCCTTAGTTCTTCTCCCTTCCGGAAAGCCTAGCCAGAATTTTCTCAGTTACTCTTCTAGGTGTATATTGAGTCTTGAAGATTTGCAGACAAGACTTTTAGCTGGTTGCTTTGCTATCAACTGTCCCAGTAATTCTTTAATTTTGGTTTTCTTTCTCTCTCTAGTCGGTGCTGTGAGAAGAAAAGTTGCGGCAACAGAAATGAGACTCCATCTGACCCTGTGATCATTGACAGGTAGGAGATGAATCCTCATTTTCCCACAAAAACAATGCCAAATTGTTGTGTGTGCTTTGAGGTGGCTGAGGGTCTTTCATGATGGTTATCTGTCAGCGTCTGCCATTTGGGTATGTCTGTGCTTCGTGATTCTTGAGAAAAATGCCAGCCTAAGAGTTGGTTAGCTTTAGTGCATCTGGGCTTACCTGGACAAAATTGTTGATGTTTATTTTGTAAATTAAGTTCTCTGTGTATCATTTTCATTGTGACCAAATATTCCCTGTACGTATCTGGAATATTTTCTATTCACCTTACTGAGACAGATAAAGCTTTGAGCAACCTGGCAGCTTCAATAATATTCTTTAACAAAATAATGTTATTTTTTCTAGAAATGTGGGGAAGAAGGAAGGGGTAAAGGCAGAAGTGCAACATACTAGGCAGGATTAAAACCGACGGCTTGGGGATTGTGAGCAATTTTATGTAGAACAGCAGCTTCATATATTAGTCAGCTCCCGATCCAGGTCTAGGTTCTGCTTGCCAGTTTCTGTTAAATAACATAAATGGGGAGAGCAGCAGTTTGTTAAATCATGAACTGGCACATGAAAAATTGTTTTCGTGGAGGCTTAGAAAACTAGCCTGTGGAACTCACTGACTCAAAGTGTTGTTTGAGATCTGGAGTTCAGCAAGATTCAAAAAGGAAAAACAAGACGACAGAGCTGTTTCAAAAAGAAGTACACAACCAAGATCTCCAGAAGGAGAACAGTAACTAAGGAAAAGTCAGGAAGAAATCCACCCTCCCACACTCCCCCCCATTATTCTACTGTAACTGTTTAAAGAGTTTCTTTTCCCTGAAGCAGCTGGTACAAGGGGCTAGTGGAGAGCTGATGCTGAAGTGGATGGACTGTGGATTAAGTTTTTGTGTCTGTATGTGTCTGGCGTGTTCTGTCTACATTCTAATAAGCATTATTTGTCATAGTATTTCTTGTGAATTTTGTTTTGGCATTCAGAATGGTCAAGCTGGTTTGAATAAAGATCTATGATTATTTCCTTCATTTTTTTCATCACAGAGTCAATCTAAATAATTTTGGAACTTCAGTGATGTGATGGGGTTCTTCCTTTACCCCATGGTTTTCCCTTTTAATTTTGTACTGACAAGTTGTGGTTGGGGCCACAGTTGGAAATTCCAGCAAACTGGGCTGTTTGTGTGGGTGTAAGGGGCAGTTTCCTGACTAGAGGCAGAAGTCCTAGATGTGCCATCTTGACCTTTTCTATGAAATTTCTAGCTTATTTTTGGCCGTGTTGATGTTTGGTATGAATCTGCATTTGGGAATTTTCCAATCTGAAGTCTGAATTTTCTGAAACTTGTCTGACTGCTGGAGAAGCAGCATGACGTAAGGCAGTGTATTAGTCTATGAGTTAAGGCCGTGAAGGGGCTGTTCCTACCACTAACTGTTATTTTGTTGTCTTGAGCAAGCTGTCCCTTCTCATGCAAAATGAAGAGTCCGACGCTTTCTGTGGGGATTTGAGATCTGTTGATGTAAAATGCAATGGAAGTGGAACTATTAGAAAGAGCAGGGTTATTCTTTTTAACAACTGTGTGTAAAACGTGCATCACAAGTCATCTGTGTGGTCAATGAGTCCTAAGCTTTCCTAACTTGCTCTGAGCCCAAACCTTTGTTCATAACTCCCTTGCCAACAGCAATAGGCGTTCTGCCTATAGGCATTCTGTTCGTGTGGAAGCATCCTCTAGGTTCAGTCTGGCAGTTTCTTGTTGAGCGTCAGTTCTTCCCTGTCATCTGTGTGTGTGCATGTCTCAAAATTGCAAGTGAAATCTGGAGTTCAGTAGGGGTAATAACAAGGTAGATGAGAGAAATAAGGGGTACGGCCCGATAAAGCTGTTTTCGCTTGGTTTTAAAGGCAGTCACAAAATCAGGTTTAGGCCACAGAGGAAAGAAACGATTACAAATCTGCATTGCTGTCTGGAGGTGGCATGGTTTAGCGAACAGTGTGGTGAACAGAAGCTAAACTCAAAGCTAAATCTTTTTTCTTGTTCTACCGCTAATCAGTAATGCAGCGTCTAGCAAATGACTCCCTCTTCTGTACAGTTATTTCTATTCCACCATTTTACCCAGTTAAACAAGGTTTGAGGAGTGAGGGATAATCCTGTGTACTGCATCTTAATCAACACATGTAATGCAAATATAATAACAAAGTTATGCTGTACATGTCTGTGCACAGAGGAATTCATTGTGTAGCCTGTCATCCTCAGACATTTCCACAGCAGTAAGTACAACTACTTAGGAGTTTAACTAAACAGTCCACTCTCCCAAGCTACGTTCAAGGGGGCTAATCTTTCCATCTTTCAAACAAGCAGAAAACTCTGCTGGAGAGTCATATGTGTTCTGAACTAGCTTGGGAATCTGGGCAGCAGTGTTCTTATTTATTTAGGGGGTCTTTATATGGCTTCTTTAGAAGAAAACATCTATGCCTAAGAACGTGGTAGCAAGTGGAATGTAATTTCTGAAATGCAGCTTGCAACAATCTGCAATCACGCAGGCCAGTAAATATGATAAGATTTTCAATTCAGTGTTGGCTTCATGATGGTTTTTTTTCTTAGCTTAAAATGAACTACATGTTTCTAAAAATAAATAATTGGAATGAAGGTGTTTTTTCATTGCTTGAAATGATAGGTACATGTAAAAATTTGTCATGTAACAATGCAGCTGTTACATTCTAACATGTCTCTAGAGAAGTGGGGGGAAAAAAAAGTAAAATGGAGAGAGAAAGGATTACAAAAATACATTTGTGTTACGCAGAGCCATGTCTAAACAGTACGTGTGAAGTGAAATGGGACTAGAGCTTTCCATTTAGAATAGAAGGGAAGTGGAGGCCAGAGAAGAACTTTGTTGTCTGAACGAGCTAGGTTCTCCCTTTGAGCCTAGGCTGGTTAATATGCATTGCTCCTGCTGCAAGAGTGTGTGAGAAAATTGTGGCTGGCACTCAGGAGGTGCCATCTGCATCGTAATTCCAGCTGTGTGTGGGGACCTACATGATTAAAACATGGTTTGATTGTATGTCATAGATAAGACCAACATCTTCAAAGCTGTAGCAGGTGACTATCATGAGGTGTGAGAGTAGAGATGGAACCCCGTTTTAGGCTGAGCTGTGTATAGCTTAGGTCTAACAAGTTCTATGTTTGATTTGCAACTCCCACAAAGGCAGTGGCCTACTCAAATATGAAGGATTCAGGAGGGCACCACGTTACTATCTCTAAGCTGCTTTACTGTACAAGCAGCCCGTGCGTGGCAAGCGGGTTCCCTCAACAGCAAAGGAGCAAGCTGCAAGGTAGAGGGGTTTAGACTCTAAGATGAGGCAAGCTCTGTGTGGTACCTGGAGGTATACTCTTACCATGAGTAGGCACAAGTTAAATTAACTACTTTGGGTACCTCTAAGGGTGGTGAAGAAACAAGGAGAGGCATTGCTCCTGGGTAGAGATATATGTCGATGTCTGTGCTACTGCAACTTTATTGTTTATTGTCCTTTTTTGCCTGAGCTAAGTGGCTGCATCTGGTATGACTGTCCATGCTATGATTGCACGCTTCTGACCACGCTATAGATGCATCCTATAAACCTCACGAGACTAATGAAGCATTCAAATCAGTTGAGGTCATAACCTGCCATCCAATGTTGCACTGAGCTAAACATGCACCAAATTTAGCTGAGTTCACGGACTACATTATAAGTTGCTGCAAAAGAACATAACCCCATCAGCAGTACAGTGTTTTCCCTTTATTTGTTTCTCTCCCTTCTTGCTTGCTTTTTATGCTTCCAGAGGCTGATGCTTGGACTATTGTCTTGGTTTACCTGTTTATTTCTGTAAGGAGGCACAATTCATTGGTGTTTGCCAAATCGTGGAAACTTGTATCCCTGTTTAAAAAGGAAGAAGTAGTTCAGTGGGAAAAAAATGTCAACCACGTTGTTGTTGTTGGGTTTTTTCTTCTCCTTGAACGAATTCCAAAAGTTCTTATGCTGAATAAAACATTTCTGTTGTGACCTTTGCTCTGGGGACTAGATTTAGATCCTGAGGACCTTGCAGTTATTTTTCTGTTCACTCTTGGAAACTACCACTTTCCTATATGAAAGGGAGTTTCTTCACTGAAGTTTACTGTGTACTCTCTCCCACTGACAAAGATCTGTAGGATACATTAGAGTATTTCGGTTCCTGCAATGCTCTGAGTTGGAATTCCAGCGTAACTTGGATCAGAATCCGAGTTCAGAATGCTGCCTCTGTTTTAACAGCAATGGTAACAGCTAAAATCCTGCAATGTTGCTATTGCAGGCATCCAAAAAAGCAGAAGCAGACATAACTCTGCAGGAGCGTAGGGCTGAAAGAACCACCTGAACATATGTGTGAGGTTACATGATAGATGTTTAGTCCAGAAGCATTTGCAAAATATGCACTCCAAGTTTTTTTAGACAACACAAGCCACGGTCACTTCCAAAATGTTAGAGCAAGCTTTAACTTTGCCTACAAGATCAAAATTCACCAGAGCTAAATTGGTTCTAGTGTGTTCCCATGGTGGATCATAGCACTGGTGGATTCCCAGTGATCTTAATTTCTATTTACCCTGTCTTCCTGCTTAGTTTTTGAAGTTAGTACCTGTGGAATTGGCACGTTTATGAGACTTCAGAAATGTAAATGTAAATGTTTTTGTTTCTTTTTCTCATGGCTGAAGTGGTGGTTCTTAACATTCCTTGTAGTTCCTGGGAATTAGAGTATGAACTTTGCATACTAACATTTCTGTCTTTGTGGAAATCATAGACAGGGATATGAAGTGGGTGAGTTGGGGTGGCTTTCAGATAGAAGGGTGGAATTTTGTTCTTTTGAAGATGATCATTCCCAAATGAAAGCTGTATTTTGTCACGCCTGTATTGTAGTTACTTAGTTTGCTACCTTTCCCACCCCAGTTATGCAAATAAAAATAAACTTGGTCTTATGATAAAGAGGTCGTCGATACTGC